GAACGTTCTAATTTCAATTTTTCAACTTTGAACGCGTATTACAGCAATATGGATAAGAGCACAGGAATGTATCTATACTTTAGCAGATATTAGGAAAATTGCTCACTGCTACTAATATTCGCGCCTCACAGTTTGGAAAACGCTGCTATAAGTTATCATTTATGAATGATGATGACTATATGATTTTTTTTTGTATACTTTGTTTTCGCGGTCTGGTCTAGTGTGCGGAGAACGTGTGAGAGTACGTGTAATGTAATGCATGTGGCAGCTGATGTTACTAAAAACAAGTACACACACACACACTCTATACTCATTCCTTCCTTTCTATCCTCGCTCGAACAGAGTTGGCAGGCAGTTGACGCGCAACAATTGTACGATTCACGTGTTGTTTCCCTCATAACGATGATGATCATGATATTGTCGCGCCTCCTTTGGTGATCCTCGCGAATGCCCACACACCACAGTTCTCTTACATGTAGTATATAGCATGCATGGATTTGTCGAATCTACGGCCTAGCAATCAAAAGAAGATCAACACTCTCGTTGTCCTGTGTCACACTGAGCAATTAACAAATCCAGTAAGTTTCATACATCCATACATCAAAGTGATGATACAACTGCTGCCGCACATTGCGTGCCGTAATTGTTGGATTTATTGGAATATCGATTTCATCCTTGCGCCACGTGAGAGAATTCCGTTTTGTTTCCAACAAATGCAAATAAATACAAATTTAATTTTTCAATATATCGACGTCGACGAAGCCACAAAAGTCTCTCATTCTCGTTACCAATTCTCAAACACGACTGTATTATAATAACAGGATTATCGGTACACGAATTTCACCTCAAAGCCAACACAATCTTCACCTTAATTTATCTATGTTTTCTATATCAAATACATAACAAATTAACTATTAAAATGTAAGTGACTTTCAATTGTTTTACTAATTTCACTATATTAACTATGTTAGCGGGGTTCTCAACCTATAAGTAGTGTTAACTCAGTGACAGCTGTCATTTTATGACACATTGGTTACGAAATGACAGCTGTCATTGGTTGCAAAATGGTAGCTGCGAAACCGTTAGCAGTTGGTACAACTATAAACAACAGGTTGAGAAACTCTGGTGTATATCACATAAATCATATTTGTGTCCGCTTTTAGTTAAGTACAAATAATTGTTTGATTTTCAAGCATTTTTCATTGCGATAAACAGAAGTTTAGAGTCATATATGATTGTATTAAGTATTATTATCATGTTACAAAACGTGTGAGAGTGAGAGAAAGCAACAAACAGGAAGTTTCTCGTATCACCAAAGTTGTTCCTTCGATGTTTACAAAACCAGAAGCAAAATAAAACCGCTCTTATCGCGTTATTTAAAAAAATTAAAAAAATAAGAAGTAGAATGTTAAGTTCCGGCAAAGGTTTCGTTTTACGTTGTCTAAACGTAAACATTCTTCGTCAATGGTAATTTGATTTTATCTATATTATTAGTTTGTTTTTTTTGTTTGCTTCCGTTATGTAATGATTATCTAAGCTTTTAATTATAATTTTAATTTTATTCGATGATCAACACTTTTTATTTTTTTATAAAAGAAATATAAAATCGACTTTTCAATGCCAATTTTGAGAAATTCCGTATTCGTCAATTTTCTTCAATTTTATACCATACATTTCTTAAGATACTCTATTATTATAAAATGAAAAGACAATTAAGTATTTGCTTAAAAAATTTCAGAAATTTCATTTTTTTTAAATCGACATTTTTCTGTGAAAATCGACTTTTTCAATGTCAATTTTGAGAAATTCCATATTCTCCAATTTTCTTCAATTTCATACCATACATTTCTTGAAATACTCTATTATTATAAAATGAAAAGAAAATTAAGTATTTGCTTAAGAAAAGTGATTATAATAAATTCGAACTTACGAACGGCCTATTTGCATAAATAATCTGGAATGTTAATATATTGGTGGACAGTTCGGTAATTCGGTTAGAATTCGCGTGCAGAATTTCAGTCGCGTGCTCCGAAGAATAAGCGCACACAAAACATGCCATTTCTTCTCTAATTTAACAAATAAAAAATCTCATAAAATTAAACCATCATTTGATTAATTACAGCAGTCTTCGTACCAAGCACAAAACCGATCCTCAAACTGCATTAGTTTTACGGATTCGCATCGTCACTAAAGAAATCCGTAAACATTCGTAACTCCGAACAAACATGAAGAAGTAAAAGGCTCGATGCTAAGTGGAGTAACCAATTCACGTCTTCTGTTTGAACGAAAACTTAACACTTTGCTTTAATATAGTAGCATTGTTGGACTTTTGATCGTTAAACCTCCCGAGTTGCGCTCTATTTTTATCCAGTTTTATGGATACATCTGCCGTGCCGTTTTTTTTCTTCGCCTGTTTCATTTTTCCGAATCGAAGGAAAAACATTGTGTTTTCGTTTTTCATTCGTAATGCAAATAATGAGAGAAGAAAAAAGAAACTATTTTGCGTGCGAAATCTTTTATCTTTATGCCCGCAATAAAAATCTTTTATTGCGACTTTTTCAAACTTATTATTCAGAAGTTCCGTATTCTCTAATTTTCTAACAAACATTTCTTGAATTACTCTATTTTTTAAAATGAATAGAAAATTAAGTATTTGCTCATGAAAATGTCAGAAATTTCATTTTTTTTTCAAATAGATATTTTTCTGTGAAAAATGACTTTTTCAATGTAATTTTTAAGAAATTCCGTATTCTCCAATTTTCTTCAATTTTATAACAAACATTTCTTGAAATACTCTATTATTATAAAATGGAAAGAAAATTAAGTAGTTGCTCATAAAAATGTCAGAAATTTCATTTTTTTCAAATCGATATTTTTAGTGAAAAATCGTCGTTTTCAATGTCAATTTTAAGAAATTCCGTATTCTCCAATTTTATTCAATTTTATACCAAACATTTCTTGAAATACTCTATTATTATAAAATGGAAAGAAAATTAAGTATTTGCTCATGAAAATTTAAAAAATGTAACTTTGTTCAAATCGATATTTTTAGTGAAAAATCGTCGTTTTCAATGTCAATTTTAAGAAATTCCGTATTCTCCAATTTTCTTCAATTTTATACAAAACATTTCTTGAAATACTCCATTATTATAAAATGGAAAGAAAATTAAGTAGTTGCTCATGAAAATGTCAGAAATTTCATTTTTTCAAATCGATATTTTTAGTGAAAAATCGTCGTTTTCAATGTCAATTTTAAGAAATTTCGTATTCTCCAATTTTCTTCAATTTTATACAAATCATTTCTTGAAATACTCTATTATTCTAAAATGGAAATAAAATTAAGTAGTTGCTCATGAAAATGTCAGAAATTTATTTTTTTTTTCAAATCGATAATAACCAATTAACTGATTATATAGATTGTTTTAGTAAATATTGTTACACTTTTTGAAATATGTTTTCTATTTGTATTTGTAAAAAAAATGTATATCATTGGAGTATAATATGTGTACTAATTAGTTGGAGTTGATTGGTTGACCAAACAAATGTGAAGTATGATGAAAAACGAAAAGGAAACTGGTTTTTTTTTGTTGATTGACGACTGTTGTTTGGCTTTTGTGTCTGCTCGGTATATTATCCAGTTTCTCAAATCAACGTGTCCGAAAGACAGCACAAAAATAAAAAATTAAGAAACAGCAACATATTCTGGGTCAGTTGCAACGGTTTTGAAGACAGAACAAAAAAAAAGTGAAAATTGTGTGTGTTAAAGGTAACGATTTTTTTGTTTTAATTAAGTTTCTTTCATTTGCAATCTGAGTTTAAATTATAAATTTATAAACGTAAATTGAAAATGTTTTTGTATTTCCGCCAGGTAAATTTGTAATTGAAATTTTCTTAAGTAATCCAATCGAATTTACTTAGTAAGTGTTTATAGAAATATCCGCGTTTAAAAATACTCCAATATCTTTTTATACGTTTATTGAATTCAAGTTTTCAAATTATCATATCTAAATATAAAAATAATGAACATAAAGAAAAACCACAAACAGGTATTTTTATCACATAATTACAAACATTTCTTAATGTAATCGTATACAATTACTACAAATTTCAATTAACTTTGTTTGGTTGTTTTTCAGCTATTTTCTTATTACATAATAATTTTCACATAAATGTTTGAAATAATTTCGATTTTAAAATAACGATCTGCAAAAATTTTAATTTTTCTTATCGTAAAATGTTCGTTGCATATTTTGAGACGTCGATTCATAAAACAAAATAAAAGAGTCTTTCGTTACGTGAAAATGCGTGTGCGAGTTTTTTTTTTGGCACGTTCTTCGTCGCCGCCTCGTTTAATGCTTTTAAAATTCACACGATGCGGCATAAAATGAACCGACTGTTTAACTGCTTACCGCCGCTCTTTTCGTAGATTTTGTTTTCCTTTCGGCACTGATAACAAACGAATTACTCCACTCAGCATTTACTCTTACATAAGCGTTCGTGTGCACGTTATTTCTTCAGCGCTGATTGCATGCACACTTTCGTACTTTAGTTTTTATTTAATGATTTGAACGGAAACAAAAAAAATAATAAATTACTCGATTACAGTGACATCTGTTTTAGCGGTTGTAACGTCGAAATGACGCCAATTACGAATAATTTCTATGTATGTAACCTTGGTTACAACATCAGTTAAACATAAAACGTCCTAAACGTCACTTTTATGACGCTATTACCAACTTTTACTATATAGTCATAGTCTGTATAATGCATTTATATTGATACTTTATTCTTTTAATTTATTCTTACATTATATTGGAATGTTTGAAATTTTCAGTATTGTTGAATTTTACAGTATAAACCCATTTTTTTTTGTTATAGGAATGCACTTTATAAATTTGCAGAATTGTAAACGAAATAAACGAATGAAGTTTTAGAACTTTGTTAAAAGTATAATTACAACGTACATCAACATCATTGTTTGCTTTTTCTAATTAATAATCCATTAAAAAAGATGTGTTTGTTCGAAACTCGTTAAAAACTTAAAAGACTGTATTAGATTGCAATGCTTCCCATGCAATGCTATTAATTACATCATGTTGTCTTAACTAATATTTTAATTATTAAGAGGAATTAATTTGCGAATTCTCTTTTTTATTTGTATGTGCGTAAAACTAGTTGATTGATTGTGAACAATTGAAATGCAATTGCGAATGAAGTAAGCATTTTGCACTTTGGTCGAATCAATTGCGGCGTTCGTTCGTTCGTTTGTTTAAACAAGAGAGAAACGAACGGACGTTGCGATTCGCGACAGGTTCGGATTCGATCGAAAATCGATACAACACAACACCAGAAGGTGTTGAGCTGTAATTGATGTATGCAGAAACAGAAACGCGCCTTCTCTGATATATCATATTTTTATGTAATGTCATCTATAGTTAGTTTTACAGTTGTTTTCTTGTCTTTTTTCCAGATCTAAATAACAGTGGTTGTTGTTGTTGTTCTCGAGTTGGTGAGCTTCGAGCGGGGATCAAAGAAGAGTTCTACTACGGCATCCTCGTACCCTGAGGTCGCGCGGACGGCAATCGAGACGTCGGACCGAGGGTACCCCATGTTGGCGAGGTTACTGTTCGCCATCACCCGCCTTGGGAGATCCCCCAGGAAAAAACAACACATCCACCTCGATCTGTACTGAAGACATAAAAACATACGTTCACCAGTGTTCAGACACTTTTGATTTTGTTTGCTCATTGAAGAGGACATTCGAATCTTAAACTGTGCAGTGATTTTCGTTTTTCCGGTATCGTTTCTTTTTTTTCTCTCTTTATTTCTTCATTCGTTCGGATTTTCCTCTACTACTGCTGCGAGTGACAAGGATACGCGAAGATGGAGAACGCGGAGAGGACCAACCTGAGGAAGCTCTCTTTCTTGGGTTTTGGTCGACGCACTGGAAAAAATGTAAGTATTTTTGTTACATAATTATATTAAAATCAAATGTTTTCTACAATTCTACGTTCAAAAGTAAAGACAAAAGTTTTAAGTGAATTAAGAATATTTTCTTCAAATTTGTAAAAAGAAAAAGTACAATAAAACCAAAGATCATTCATTTATGAAACAATAATCACTAAATTTAGAATTACTTTGAGACCACAAGATTTGAATAGAATTAAGATTAATTTCTTTAGTTTAAAATCACAAAATCCTATAGTTTCTTCATTATAATTGAGAAAGACAATTTACTATCTTTCATAATATTTTGTAAGAAGTAAGTCGTTATTGAAAGATGAATACACACACAGATTTGGTTATTATTCATCGATCGGCCTCGAATCTCAATTGCTTTATTATTATTATTGTTGTTTCGTGTCTTGTGCATCGTAATAATCGCAAGTGGCTTGCCTTTTAACGAATGATTAACTACGTACACAAATCAATAAGACGATCGGCTCTCACATAGGGCGGAGATCAGCTGAAACTAATTGAATCCGAAACCAGAACACTCAGTTCAATTGCTGGAACTACGTGCCTCTTCCTTTCATCAACAAACAGAAGGACAAACGAAAAAAAAAAACTAATTAAAAAGCCCGCATCAATTCACCGTTAATTTATAATGATCAATTTAAAATAAAGACAGACCATCATAATTCGTGGCCTGTGCAAATGATTCTTTATACATCTAACATCATGTTTAGAATTAATGAATTTTTTGAAAGAAATGTGATAACTTTGATAAATTAACAACAGTGAAATTTGATTACAATGCGCTGTTTTCAAATTCCGTGCAGATTTTTGAACTCGAAAGTTGTTTGTCAAATAATGATGACATCATCGACGTTGATCTAGGCCTTCGCGAAACAACAATCCTTCACGTTTTCTCATTCATATTCAAATGAATCGACGATCCGATTCAATAGAACCAAACTTTCTAGCCTCCAGTAACCCAAAAATCAAAGATATCCATCACAGCTTTCTTCTTACACAAATGGTATTATAATCGATAAGTTCACTTAATCTTTCTCTCATTTTGTATCTTAGTTCTATGCATTTCTTAGTACTCAAATAGCAAAAGTATTTACTTCATCAATTTTGATTTTATTATATAAGTTTGTATTTAGTTTCGACTAAAAATTATGTTTGTGGGAATTCCCATTAAGAAATACTACTTTTAGTTTCAGAGAAAAACTCTTTGAGAACACAAATTATAGTAATCTAATAATCTCAAGGTTATAAATAATGTATAGAAAAATTAATCATAATTAAATGCAATTTGTTTTCATAATGAATATATGTGAATTTGTTAGATTTATTTTATGACAAACAAAAAGTTAAGACTAATTTATTGAAAATTAATCACTTTCAATTGTAATCAAATGGAAAGAACGTGTAAGATTTTAATATAAAAAAAACGTTATTGTTTGAAAAGAGGATATGTAAATCAATGAGAATTCTATAATCTCTAATTTATGAATCATTAATACAAAAGGAATCAGTATCAAAAATGTGAATTTGAAATTTGAATCAATCAACTTTTCAAATATAAAAAACTTCTATAATTTTGGATAAAATCGTTACAATCTTAAATTTATGACTAATATATAAAAATAATGAGTTTCAAATTGTATGATTTTCGATTATTTATTTTTTTGTAAATTTTTCAAATCAAGGTAAGAATTATAAGCAAAACGGATACAAGAGGAAAGATGAAAAAAAAACAAATGAAAACAATTTCGTCCTAATATTTTTAGGATTGACCCACATACGTTGCGATGGTGATAATTTATGGCCTGTCGAAATGCCAGCAATAATACGGTTTGTTTGTACATCTGTTTCACTTTGATACTTTTATCATCGCAATGCGCACATCCTTTTCTAACTTATATAAAGAATGTGGTGGTGGTTGAGAGGAGAGGAGAGAAAAAAGGTGGTTGAAGGTGATGAAAAGACATGAGCGTAATTGGGGTGTAAAGAATTCCCATTATGTCTCTTCCAAACTCTGTGAGTCGAGCGGAGCGGAGAAAAGTTTCAAGGGGAGAAGAAATTCAAAAGAAAAAAGTACGAACGAGGGTTGAGAATAATATAATAAGGAAAGGTTCAGCTTTATTTGATGATTCTCGAGAAAGTTTTACATGATTTCACGGACAAAGGATTTCAGAGAATCACTTATTTGATCTACTGTATGAGAGAGAATCAATAGATCATATTTATTTTTCTACTTATTATCAAAAAATTATTTAGTTCGAAATATATTTATGTTATTCCTTAAGAGGTTTTTCTTTCCATATTGAAAATTGATACTGAAAAGCTTGTTAACTCAAGAAGTTCATAAAATCTTCTGATTAATATTTGCTGTAACAATTAGTCAACAAAAAGGAAGCGCTTCAAAGCGGTTTATTGCGTATCAAATTGTCGTAGCACATTTTTTTTGCTCTGTCTCTAAACGTTTCCATCTGGTTTTCGTTTGATCGTATAATATTAATAAGGTTCTAAAAATACGTTCGGCGTTTTTGCTGAAAACGAGTGTTTGTGTATATTTGTCGAAAAAGCAATTAATCAAGTAGACGTCCGCAACTTTAATATTCACTAATTACGGCAACAAATAATTAAGAAGAAAATACGTAAAATTATAATTGTACAAATATTTGTTTTTTTTTTCCACAATTTAATTATTTCGTGCACACGTCGGCGGATCGATGATTTGCAACGTACATTTTCTTACTTTAAATCATTAAACGAAATCAATGATTCATTTTTATTTTGATCTGATCTGTATTGATGGAGGAAAACGATGAGATTTTTCTTATGATTTTCAAGGATCCAAGGTGCTATTTTTACCGATTTGGGTCACCAATTTATTTGTTTTTTTTTCTTCTTCTGCAAAGCATAACATTGTTTCCAATCCTTTTGATCGTCTAGAGCAGAGTTTCTCAACTGTGTGAGTATTTCACCTGCTCCTCGCTTTGACATCTGTCATTTTTACAATCCAACATATTTGTTGCATAGCAGTTGTGACAGTTGTCAATTCACGACCCTTTTGCAAATAATCGCGACCCATAGATCGATAAAATGCTGATTTAGAGAGAGAGAAAAATAAATAAATTAGAAAATAATTCAATTGAAAGTGACATTTTTTTATTGGGATTTTGTTGTTGCATGTTCGTAATTCAGTCACAACAGTTGTTGTTGTCCCATTAAATCTTCCTCGCGTGATTCATTATTCTCTGCATTTAATAAGTAGCTTCCATAATACAAAAAATTATAAATTCGCTGAGTGAACGAGTCAATGAGTTGGAATTTCCTTCATTTTTCTTTTCTTCAATATGATTTGCGCTTAAAGCAGTTTTGTAACAGGAAGAGTAAGTGAAATAGATTATTTATATAGATATTAATAAGTCAATCTCGATGCGAAGGTTGTTCTCATTATCAACTGTCCTTTACTTTATTTGTGCTCGTACGGATTCGTTTCTGCATAAAACATGTTCGGGATTAATTGAGGCTAATTAATTATGGAACGTAACATTCGTATCATTATTATTTTGAGATCGAAGCTGCTACAAGGCTATTGTCCTGTTCGTTCTCCTCGTGTGCGTGGTAACTTTACTTCTTACAAATGCCAAAATAATCGTGCGATTATTCAAATCCCTTTGTTTATTCCATCATCTTGTTGCCTGCCTTCGTGTTTAGAAGCTTAAGGCAATTTCCGTAACGATTTCGTAATAGGCTCAAAATTGATTTGTTATGTAAATAGAACTATAATATGATATAAATCTATTTGGATAAATATAAATTTTATAGTCTTTTTCCGAAAAAGGAATAAGTTTCCCTTTTCTCTTTTGTAAATGTTTCATTGATTCTGGATGATGTACGAAATAAGTAGATTCTTCCTAAAGCTGTATGAGTTCGAGGTTGTAATATAGAACCTACGGATTTTCGTTCAATGACTTTGACAACTGCGCAAAGCCTCGAAGGATTTGTTAGCACAGACTTTGCTTCGAAGGAGATTCCTCGTTAGCAAACCATCATTGACCAAGAAAATAAGAGGAAATCCCCGACGAATCCTACCGATAAAATGGAAATGGGATTCAGACTACGTGAGTCAATACGAAGAGGCAACGTTTCTATTTTTAGGCGTTCTGTAAAAATTATGAGTGTGAGAAAGAGAAAGACATGGTTTGTAAATAATGCAGGAAGAGTCTGCAGCACCTGTTAGTGGGTGTGGAATCACGCACGTGTGTGACCTCTCTTCGGTGGAGGTTTTCGGGGGGATGTTTGTGCGTCTCAGCTGAGAGGATGGAGAGATATGCCGAAAATTGACCCAGATAAAAGCAGGACCGGCGGGATCCGCAGGATGATGGGGGAAAGCAGGAAGTGGTTCTGGCAATGACCTTGACTATGGGGCGGGTGTAGCGCTGCATGCGCAGAGGAAATATCGACCAGGAGGACGACGTCTGGGAGCAGCAGCGCCGAAACGCCGCACTAGGTCAGTGCTCGACAGATTTCGCAGCATCCCCCGCACAAGACGCACACAACATACACGACGCTCATACCTTACCTGCAAATACTCCACACTCTCTGTACACAATTCGCTCACTCTATCTCCTGTTCCCTCTCGAGACACTCATCCTCCTTCTCCTCCTCATCACCAGATCAAACCTTTTCAAACTGATTACTACTACTACTACTACTATTACTACTAGTTACTATCAACAAAACCCCGATTCATGAAGATCCTGTGATCCTGTGCGTAAATCAAGTATTAAAGTGTCCTCAGAGGTGGACGAGTGCGCGTACGTTCCCCTCCCCTTATCGGTGGTGGTGCATAACAGTCTCGAAACGAAAAACAAGGATAGAAATTCATGTATTCCTCTTTACGTGCGTCCGTCGCGCTGCCTTCGTAATTCATCATCATCGTCCTCTCTTTTCCCGCGAGTGCCGATTTCGTAACAGCAGTGAGAAGCTGTCGTCGTCGTCTAGCACGCGACTCTCCGCAAATTTCGACTGCAGAAAACACCGAATCTCCTCAGATCCAAGATGAAGCGCAAAAAAGTCAACTGACACCAAAGCGCGCGGAAAACCTCACCCCGCCGAAAAAAGAGAAAAAGACGAAGAATACTATTTCCCGAACAAGAAATAGAAGCTTCAATTAACGAATTGAGAGAGGAGAAAAGGAGAGAAAATATTGAAACACGAATGTCGCAAGAAAGACGAAGTGCGACGATCATCTAGAATTGAAATCATGTGAAAAGCATCCGTGCGAAATCGAACGTTTGTACCTGCTCATGTCTACCTGAAATAGATGTTATTTTTCTAAAAATAATTAAAAAAAAAACAGATAAATAATATATAGAATTTGAATATTTTTACTAAAAACTTGCATTCATACATACAAAATCATACAGAATTATCGATGTTGCAGAAATACAGATATATATTTATATTGTAAGGAAGGATTAAAGGATTCCGTTACTTTTTTTCGTTTTGCTCTCGCTCTTCATATCTCACTCTCTCTCTCTTTCTCTCTTCGCTTCACACAAATGTCGTTGGTTATGCCCACCGAGAAAAAGTCGTCGCTCGTCCACAGGTCCTTTCTGCACAAAGCTCGAGGACGACTGTTGAAATGGATGCATTACATGAAGGTTTGATTTATTTACTCTTCCCATATTAATAACGTCTTTTCCAATTACCTTTTCCATATAAACAAACTATTCTTTGGAAATACTTGGAATGTATTTAATATACTTTTTCACAAATTGTACAATGATAAAAAATCTTTTTAAATTGGCTAAAGCAGTTGCGTTTGAAGATGATATTATTTTCTACAATCTCCTTTACACTTTTCATCCTTTTTTTGCGACTGAATGATGAGGTAATTTGAATAATTGAAAATGTCGTTGACCGGTTTTTTCCCTCTCGTTGCGCTTCTCCAAACTATCCGCTATTTTCCACAACAATGGATAAGAAAGAACGAAAGGAAACGAAGTACGAATAACGTGACGTAGTTTGCTTGCGTGTGGCGAAATGTAAAAAGAAGTGTACAAAAGGACGAACCGAGTAAGTAAACGGATTGGAAAGAAGATGCCAGAATGCAATTTATTCATGTATGCAGAGTGATGTGCTCGGGATATATGTTGTTCTTCCATTAAATCATTCAAATCAAAGCGCCTTCAGAATGCAAATGGAGTTATTAAATTGGCCTCGATGCAACAACAAAATTTCAAATTCGATTTGAAATCCTAACACTTGTTCAAAACGAAAGCAATTTCTAAAATATTATAATTTTCAGTATATTATTTCTATGTTTTTAACGTTCATAATATTGATTTTACCGACTTAATATTGAATTTGAATCTCAAATATTTCCAAAGCCTAAGAAAACGTTTCTTCAAGTTTGACCGTGAATTATTCCGTTGCTCAATAAATGTAAAGTAAATGCTTTTTGATCTCTACAAATATGATGAAATTACATCGAACCACTTCCAATCTAGTTAAAGATCGTATCATCAATTCTGTTATTATTTTTGGAAATAACTGTTAACTTGAAAGTGGATGTACAGTTATGATTGGTGTATGCGAATCATTTGGAAACGTTTTGTATTTGGAAGTGTGGAATTTCAGTAATTTAATTACTTTAATTTCAACGAAATCCCGAGATAATATGCATTGTGGTAGTCGCGCTCGCGTTCGTTGTATATTCATAGAGTTTCATACATGTGGTCGCCGTTATTACAACAGTCAGACCTAATTATATTCTCCGATGCACACGTCCAAGTTTTAAATGAAAAATTCTAAACGAATCAAATAATTAATTAACTTTCTTCTTTCAACAGACATCAAATCTAGAGTTAAATGATTTCCTTTATTTTATGTAATACGAAGTAAATAGAATCTCGTTAGGTTTCTTACAACGTTTGTGATGAATGCTTGTTATTCGCTCATTCTGTTTTTCCAAATATCTAAGAAGAAAACGACGTTGTAAGATCAAACGAGCAGTTTTTCTCAGAGAAAAACATAAATTATATAGATTCTGTTTACCACTTTCGTCTTACATTGTGTTGAAAATTTCGTTTATGAATATTTAGATTTTTTTCCCTTTTCTTAAAATAAATCTGTTTGTTTTTCACTGCAATTTCCTCGCAGTTTCCACCGTTTTTTTTAAGTATCAATAGAAACGACTGCTATAACTTCTTTTAAGACACACTTCTGGTCTGTTTTAATGCGCTTTAAAAGTAGATATACATACGTAAAGTGCTTTAGCGTTGCGTTTTCGCATCTCGATTCGATTCAAGTCGAGTCGGAAACTCAATTATTTAAATTGCAATCGATTTGTAAAGTAAACGCTTTCCACTCTTATTTGGTTACACGTTTACAAAATATTGATTTATCATTTGCCCACCGATTGAGGGAAAACCGGATACCCAGCTACAAATCATCATTACGATTTTCGCAACGAGAAAATCCGATATGATTTCCGTCCGTTTTTTTCTTCACAGATCGGTGTCGTTAAGCCGATCTCAGATACTTATTTTTAATGATCAATTTAAGTTGAAAAATACTGATTAGAAAAGGCAATAATTACCATATGAATATTACCTATTTCAATTAGGAAAGAAAAGATTAGTTTGCAGATAATTTTCTTTAGATTTGATAGTTTTTGACGAATTGAGACATTTTCAACTTTTCATGTTGTCTTAAGTTATTTATATATAAATTATATAAAAAAAAACTATAAACTTCTCAAAAGATTAGAGCCGAAAATCCCCCGGTAATCATTTAGTATTGATGATGAGTGAGTGAGTTGTCTCATGTATTGACTAAGATAACAATCTGATGGTTCTTAATGAATTTTAGTTTTATTACTAATAAATTAACTTAAAGTTATCCTGCAGTTACGATTATCCAGCCTCCTCGATCAAAAGGGAAAACATTCCGACATCGATAAGGCAATAAACGAATGTGCGCCTGCTTTAATCAATAAAAAATGATAATAATTGCGACAGATAATTAGCAAACGGTCACAGTTAATTTGCTCTTACAAAATGAAAGTTTTGCTTACATTCGCAATTCGATTACAAAATGACTTTTGTTTGTATAAACTATTTGCGTTGATAATTGAAAATTTCAATTTGTTTACGCTAAATTTCAATCAAATCAAATCAGAATTGTTTTTTTGAATATTCTGCAAATCATAAATGACATTTTATAATCGCAAAATCTTGTAATATATTTATTGTTTGTGGACGGATTTATTTATAAAAGTAAAATCAATATTTTCGGTGTATTTTCGCTTTCGCACGTAGTTTTAAGTTGACTTTATTTTATTTGTGCGCGACATCGACGCAATCTATATTTGCCAGCCCGCCCGTGTGTACGTTAATCGAAAATAAACTCTCATGGGAAAAATTGTTGAAACATTTATCGAGTTTCGTGAAAATTGTGGAGAAAGTAACGAAGATGTGTCAGTTTTCGTTATTGATTGCGGAGAAATTTGAAAGTTATGAGAAGAACAAACATAAGGGGTCCAAAGAATCCATAACATGGTCTTAAATTATGCTTTTCTTGTATTATATTTGGTTTTATAGGTGATTCAAATCATATATTTTATATCCAGATAAGTCTAAATCTATTTATAGAATATTTAATTTTCATTTTTTTTTTGATAACTAAGAACTAAGTAAACCGCGAAGAAAATGCCACTAATTGCTTCACCGATTCCGAAAATCGTAATTATTCCCAACATTAATTTCGTTGTCAACTTCAAACAAACCGCCCACTTCGCATTTCCATTTCAGCAACAAAACAAAAATAATAATAAAGTCACGTGTTTCCATGCTTACGTAACCAGGACGACCACGTGCAGAGCAACGCCAAAGCTGATTACGCTCCATCCGGCAAATGGGATTAGAAAAAAGTTCTCCTCAAAAACTGAAACAGTATTTACTTTTCGATATATTTCCATCGTCAATACGCACGCACTCGGGTTTGCTCATAATCCGAAAGCCGCGCACGTAATCCACGGTAATCATCAATACATGAGATGTCTCATGTATTTGGATAGAGCTTAAATAATTAATTACAACATTTGAGTGGACATTTTATAACCACTCGATGGTTATTTCTCTGAAGTGGCGTTTATTGTCATATCTCGAGTGGTTTCACAATCGAATTAGAATTAGTTGTGAAAACATTTGTTTCGTATCGATTGTTTACAGATTGTTTAATGAATTTCTTTTGTTTTTGTTTATTTGCAGAACGATGGAAACAGCGGGTCGAACAGCACGGACGTCTATTTGGACGAGGAATGTGCGAAAGTCTTCGCCATGGATACCGAACATCGCGATAAATTCGACCTGAACAAATTGCACGAAACTAACGTTTCCAACGAACCGAGGAACTATGGGGAGAACGAGTACTCGTGTAAGTTGTCAATCCCAGTTAGTTACTTGCCGCATCTTGCGTCCAAGTTACTTCAACTTTGCCAAAATGTGAAGTGAAAGTGAAATTCGCACTTGAAATAATAACCATTGTCAATTGAACTTTAATTAATTCTACGTTCACACTAATCGACTCTTTGTTGGAAATCAATAACCAATTAAGCCTCATAACAGTTCAATAAATATAATTAATTAATTACGAACCTCGTGATTCGTCCTTTGATGTGTAATTAACTATTGTTGATTAAACTTTGTGGATTATTTGGAATTGTGCGTGCAATCATTTAACACTGAACAGCAAATTTATAATAACAATATTAATTAACTCGTTTTGTAATTGCTTTGCATACTGTTATACATTTCTCAACCTATGGGTTTGATCCAAAATGACAGCTGTCACCATGTATGTGTCAAAGTACAAAAATGTTGAGTTTCGTGTCAAAAAAGTTGAGAAACGTTGATCTAAACTACAAAAATTGATTTATTACGAAATTAATGTCGATTTAATACATATTATTACCGACATAAATATGTATTTGTTATTTTTTTTTATGAGAAATTACAGATTTACACGCTCATTGCGTATGATCTATGCGCATTGCATCATTACATAAATGTATTCAATGTAACCGACAATGCATATTCGTGCATCAACGAGATCTTAATAACCTACCGTAAAGCTAATTGCGTGCATCTTAAATCTTCTATTTGTATGCGAATGCACACGCTAATGATCCATCTCAATAATAGCGAATGATATTTTCTATGTTTAAAAAAGAAAACGCAATTACTCAATGAAATGATTACTCATGCACTTTATTAGATTGCACACTGAATTTTTCGTTTCCTTTTCTAATGTTGCATGCATTGATAAGTTTTATTGGTTGGTAATGGCGTTGTTTTTTAATTGGATTGTTACATCACTTTGGTGGGCCGTGATTATATTGAATTATAATTTAGTTTAAGTATTCTAATTAAAATGATATTATACAAACTTGCGTGTTTTTATCCAAACTTGTATTGGAAAACTAACGTTATACGTTGTTGCACTTTGATAAGTTCTATTAGTTGTTGTTTTTAATTGGATTGTTACACTTGCGTAATTTTATATAAACTTTTATTAGAAATCTGCGTTTTTTTTCTGATGATAAAGTTGCATAATGATTTAACTTTATCAATTGTTTGATTGGGTTGATCACCAGAGGACACCACTAAAACGAAGCGTCCTTTAAAACAAAAGTTTTTTTAAAGTCATCGTGACAGAGCTTCTTCTTTGAGTAAAGTTGTTGGTGATTGAAATATATTGGAAAAATTTATAAGATATGGAAGTGGATGTTGTTGGTTGCGAGTCGATGCTTGACGTAAGTTTCAATAAATTTAAATTTTTCGTTTTGGATAAATTTTAAATTTTCGTTTTCATCATCTGTGATGACCTCGAATCGTAGTTACAAAATTTATCATTGTTCTCTTTGTTGTTTGTTTTGATTTAGTGCATCGCAAGAAGAGCTACCCACACATGCACGCCCCGCTGAAGGTGTCGAAATCGTCGAAACGTCGTTCGTCGTCCACGCACACGACGGCCACGGGGTCGCCGGCCGAGACGCCGTTGCCAGGGACGCCATCCTCGACGACAGGACCTCCATCGTCCTTCGCCACAGCCACCGCGACACCGAGTAGCTACCCATCGCCGATCCTCCAGGTCACCGATTCGGATACGGGAGTCGTCAGCTCCTTGACTATTGTAGATGACGAGAGCGGCAGCGAATCCGAGGGTATTCTATCCGATCCGTCTGGGTACAGGACCCACGAGTACTCTCCTGAGAAGAAGGTACAGTTTATCTCCGGACGTATCCCGGAGGACGGCAGCGTCGCCAACACCGATGACAAGAAACAGAAGAAAAGGTATAACAATTATCATATTCTTGGTACAATTGTATATTTCAGAATGCTCATAAACTAATTAGATTATTTAGTTATACGCGCAATATCTTCTTCATAATGATTGGATTATACACATACAATAGAATGTATAACCAATCTGTGAATGACAGAGAAACGTAAACGTAATAGTTATCGATTAATGTGAGATGACACACATTCATTTCGGGAGACTGCAGTGAACTGGCGTGTGAGACATTGCGTTCGAACAGAAAAGTGCAATTTAAAATAATCCGCGTTGGCATATGTGCCAAAACAAATGCTCATATTGTTTCATAAACGACTTGATGATGAATGCTTCCTCGAGACTTTTCTTTTATTTATAGACTTTTGATTGTAGAAAACTCAAACTATTTTTCTTTCTTATTCCATTTTCGTACTTGGATCTAAAACATTTTTCCGCGATTCAAATGGATTAATTATATATAATGGCCGTACTCGAAGAACTGTAAATATGCAATGCGGTTTTGTATTCTTTTTGCTATGCGAATTCGGGTCTTTGGTTCTTTTTGGCGGGCGGACGTGTAACAGGTCTTCTTCGTTGCATAATTTCGTGACACGGTGTGTGTGCCATTGTTTCATTAGCTCTTTTTTATTTTTAATTATTGGCCACGCGAGTTTTGAAACTCGGCCAGGAAATTCGGCTGGCAGCAGACGTCACACCTCGTCTCCATCTCTTCTTTTCCGTCGTCTCTGCATGACCATTGTCAACTGCAGTGCCACGCGCCCCGCGGCTCCTGCTAAGTGCATATTCTCTCACTCCCAGAAAAAAAACAAAAAGAAAAAAACGAGAGGGAAGCAGCCACCAATAGAAAAACGGTACACATCTAATGTTATGACATTTCGGATATGCCCGTTACTTTTGAGATCGATGCCGACGAAAGACGGTATGAATCACATGACCAAATAAAAACACACAATATTACATGTTTAATTGAAGAGCAATCATCAACTTAACCAGATGCCTTTCGTTTTTATGAATTTTCTAAAAAAAAAAGAAGAAGCTTAATTGTAACTTGATTACATAACTAAACAAACGTACATGTTTACACATTTAAAAAAAAGAAGTTATTTATTTAACCAATTTCTAATAATAATTATTTATTTATAAGATTGTTAGAGTATTGAAGTTTATCTTGTATGCTCATATTTGTAATATTTCTATATTATAGATAGGTTCAAGATAATTATTAAAGGTTTTAATAATTGTTTTATAGATAATGAATTTGCATCTAATAAGGTGATGTAGATAATTACATGAAGTAATTCTCGTTGTCGAACATAATCTATTTATGGTCATCTATGTTAATAGAAATTCTTTATATAATAATAATAAACAATGAAATTGGAAATTGGAAATAAATCGAAATACATTATATAAATTAATCAACAAAATGTGTTTGATGTGTTCGAGCGAATTATTGGAATATCGTAGATGTAAATAGCATTTATACATTTTGTTTTTTTATAAAGTGTATTGTATTAGCATGGAAAATCGATGGGAGCAATCGCTTTTCAACTGGGTATAAATAAAATCGTCTTTTGTTGTCGCTGTCGTTTTATAATTAAACTGTCGTCTGGCGAGTGCCCTTGTTGTTATAATAGTCCATGGATTGTCTATGTATTTCAGCCGTCACCATTATCCGCACTACTCGAAGTTCCGCAAATACTCGCTGCCCGATGACCCGAGCCAGAGAAAGAGGCATCATCACCACCACCATCACCATCATCACAATGTGCTGGCCGAAGGTTTCAACAAGGGTCGCCGGATCTCCACGCAGCCCGAAGACCTGCCTCTCGGAGATCAGGACCGTGACCACCTGGACAGTCACAGGTCGGACGACCCGAGGGCTCTTCGCCGTCACCGCACGTCGAGACCCTCCAATGCATCCCTCGTGCACATCGGAAGAGGGGAACAGCTTGCGGCCGGTTTCTTCAAGAAGATGTACGACCACAGCCCTCACGCCGTAAGTTTGCCACATACGCGAAATTGGATTAGCCATTAATCTCGTTTGTTAGATCTTCGTGGAATTGGACGAGATATTCGAGGAGCAGGACGAACGCGAGTGGAAGGAAACGGCTCGTTGGATCAAGTACGAGGAGGACGTGGAGGAAGGTGTCGACAGGTGGGGTAAACCCCATGTGGCCTCGCTGAGTTTCCACTCGCTTCTGAACCTGAGGAAGTGTCTCGAGGATGGTCTCGTCTGTCTCGACATGGAGGAACGAGATCTGCCTGCTATTGCGTACAGGATCTCCGAGGAGCTCTACAAGGAAGATCTGATTAGGGAGGAGGACAAGGCGAAGATCATGCGGATCCTATTGCTCAGACACAGACACGTGAACGAGCACCACGACCATAAGTTCAAGTTCTACAAGAAGCACAGCTACTCCTCCTTGCAGGTAAACAACAATAATAATAAAAAAAACAGTCCAATCATCTAATATCATCGTTTAAAGTCGCGTGCTCCCACGATATCAATTTCATTTCAAGAATTAAATTATTAGAGACATTGTTTTCTCGTGAGGGAATAAGGTTCCACCCGGCGCATCCACCCGATCCACTTATGCCGTTTGTGCGTAATAGCTACGTCGATGTTAATGGGTTTCGTATTGTTGAAGTTTAGTTTACGACTTGTTTGGTCAATTTCAGACCTCTCCACTCTCTATTGATCTCTCGTACACCACCAATTACACCAATTGCAAAAACCATTCGTTTTTCATTCTAATTAAAACGCAATTGCTTCCTTTTAAAGTGAATTATAAAGTATATCCTAAATTAAATCTTCGTTTCTAATACAATATTTTAATTAGATCGTTTACATATAATTCGTTTATACGAGGTGAATGTAATTATTTAATAGTATGTCTCTAATTGGGTATAATGAAAATCTTATTATAAAATATGCAGTAATTGCTGAATAATAATAATAAACCACGGGAAGTGATTAACCATAAGTAGGCACTTGGTTGTTTACTAATCTGCGCTATTATCTATAATTGGTAATAATCAGATTGCGGACAGGAAAATCGGGGTCGAAACGATTCAAATTTCACATCGCATCCAATTGAACTGGATTTATACAATTAAGACCAAGTTTAATGTTTCATACAATTGAGATGTCTGATATCGAAATTCGCTAAATTATACTATTATATACTAAAATATATTGAATTCAGTTAGTAAATTTAGCGAGTTTTAATATAATATAGTATTTAAATAATGGATAATTTGAATGTCGCTTCTTGTACATTTTGCATATTTCATCACCTTCATCACTATTTTGAACTGTTCTCTTTGAACAGTGTTCACCATGACTTCTTGTAAATATAAACAACACATCTTGGTGGTGGTTTGCAGTCTTTGTGGTTTGAGGATGCTGCTGGATACGACGCTATGATGATGGCACGTTGCTCGGTGTGCTCAGCACAGGGTTCCCTGTGTCCACCGCACATGTTACCACGCCACTCTATCATCTCTTATCACGTAATGTCAAAGATAGAACACAAGAAAGAAAGAAAAAAAGCAGAATAGAAAAACACACCCTATTTGCACGTGATTCTATTAGTTTTTTTTTTTTGGTTGAATTAGCCTTGGTTTTGATTTTAGAGTAAAGTTTTGCGTGTGTTCTTTTTAAATCTTTTATATGATTTGTCTCTAGAGTGAAGTTTTTATTTTTTTTATTCAGTAGTGTTTAGTTTTCTTTTAATTCGTTTGTAGAGTGTTTTTACTTGATTTTTGTTTTGTTAAATCAATACATACTGATTGAGTTTGTTTTCTATTTAGAATTTGCATGATGGCGAAAAGAGAAAATCTGCTGATTTGGGAAACGGTTTGAAGAACGGCGGTCACTCCATCGACGCAGACGGTAAACTGTTGCCTGGAGATACTCATGCCATCGATATTAAGGAGGAACTGTATACGGCCAGCACCGAGGATCTGAAGAAGTTTCAAAACGATACTATTCTTAAGAGAATTCCAGTGGGCGCTCAAGGTTCCAGCGTGCTCGTCGGTTCGGTAGACTTCCTGGAGCAGCCCGCTATTGCCTTCATCCGTTTGGCCGAGGGTGTAGTCATTCCGTCTTTGATCGAGGTGAACCTTCCTGTTAGGTTTATCTTTTTGCTGCTCGGTCCCAGAGAGGCCAAACTGGATTATCACGAGGTGGGAAGATCCATTTCTACTTTGATGGCAAATCAACAGTTCCACAATATAGCCTACAGCGCCGATAATAGGAAAGCATTGTTGTCGGCCATAAACGACTTTCTGGACGATAGTATCGTTCTTCCGCCAGGCGATTGGGAGAGACAGGCCCTTCTGCCTATCGAAGAGATCAAAGCTAAGAGTCAGGCAATCCGTAAACGTAAAGAGAATGCTTTAAAGAAGGTGCATGGGGCCGAGAGCAAACCGTTGCTTTCAGCTGGCGGAGACGGAGATGGCAAAAAACCACCATTTCCGAATCCTCTGGAGCGCACCAAAAAACCTTTTGGAGGTCTAATCAATGATTTGCGTCGCAGATTCCCATTGTACAAGAGCGATATCGTGGATGGTTTGAATGCTCAATGCTCGGCTGCAGCTATTTTCATGTACTTCGCTGCGTTATCTGGTGCTATCACATTCGGTGGTCTGATGAGCGACAAAACGGACAATTACATAGGGATATCTGAGACTCTGGTTGCGACGTCCGTAGCTGGCGTAATATTCGCTTTGTTTTCGGGACAACCATTGGTTATCGTCGGCAGTACAGGTCCATTGTTACTCTTCGATGAAAGTTTGTATCAGTTTTGCAAAGCGAACGGAATCGAATACCTGACGACGCGCGTCTACATTGGTATATGGCTTGGAATCATAGCGCTCTTTGTGGCCTCTCTAGAAGGAAGCGTCTTCGTTAAACTCTTCACCCGTTTCACCGAGGAAATCTTCTCAGCTCTCATCTCATTGCTCTACATTGTGGAGAGTGTGATGAAGCTGGTGTTCGTCTTCGGAAAACATCCCTTGATGCAGGAATACTGCGATTCCGATCTAATGACCGGCCTAGCTGACAACTCTTTGCTCAATGGTAATTACACCGAAGACTCATCGGAAAACTACACGGAGATTGCGACAACTCAATCATCGATGACGATGGCCTACTTCAAACCCACCAACCAACCGAACACCGCCCTCTTCTGCACAATCCTGGCCTTGGGCACCTTCGCCATCGCCTACTACCTACGTCTGTTCAGAAACAGCCAGTTTTTGGGAAGGAATGTGAGTATCGCGTGAATTTCGAGTCTTACTGAGGTCACGTCTGGTCGCTTTGGCATAGCCATTCCATCCTCAAATTGGTGCCAACATTTTTTGTTTTAATTTCTCACGGCACCAGACGGCGGTGAAAGTCAAGTTCGTAACTTTGTTCTATGCCCTTTATTTATAGGCTCGGAGAGCGTTGGGCGATTTCGGCGTGCCAATTGCTATTGTGATAATGGTCGTCCTTGATTATATGGTCCCCGAAACCTACACCGAGAAGTTGAGCGTTCCAGAAGGACTGTCACCATCCAACCCGGAGGTGCGAGGATGGCTCATTGATCCGAGCGGAAGCAACGAACCTTTCCCGCTTTGGGTAGTGGCTGCTGCATGCATTCCTGCAATGCTCGTTTACATCCTGCTCTTCATGGAAACCCATATTTGCGAGTGAGTGTACAGTTGGTTGTCTACTAACGAATACCGAGCGCTGATAAATGAATCGCCCATAAATCAATATTCAGAAAATATTATACTAAAGTCTGTAGAAAAAGAATCTGAAACATTAATTTGCTATTAGTATATACATGATAAAAATTATTTTTTTTTGTATGTATTCAGATTGATTATGGATAAGAAGGAGAGGAAACTGAAGAAGGGAAGCGGATTCCACCTGGACATCGTCCTCGTGTGTTTGATCAACGTAGGTTGCGGTTTCCTCGGAACACCGTGGATATGCGCTGCCACCGTCCGTTCCGTGGCCCACATTTCCGCCGTGACGGTGATGTCCAGGACACATGCACCTGGTGAGAAGCCACACATCATCGAAGTCAAGGAACAACGCGTCTCCGCTCTGACCGTGTCCATCCTGGTGGGATTATCCGTGCTGATGGCACCGCTCCTCAGGCTCGTACCCATGTCCGTCCTCTTCGGGGTATTCCTCTACATGGGTGTCTCCTCGACGGACGGTATCCAGTTCTTCGACCGCATGAAGCTGTTCTTCATGCCCGTGAAACATCATCCGCAGGCATCGTACGTCAGAAGGGTAAGTCGTTTTTCCTTCCACTTGTTACGTCGTTTCTTCCTACAATCTTAAATAAACAACGCCCGACTTAATAATGGTATTTGAAAGAACCGCACCGCAGTTTCCTGCCTGTTTATTTACTCAAGCAATTCGCAGATTACAATTTGTAAACAAAAGATACCAAGAACTTTGCTTACAATTCTATTACATAAACTTGGCATATTTTTTTTTTACGTTGACTCTTCGAAGTTTGTAAATACACTTCTTGGTAATAGCCAAATAATAATAATACGCTTAATGATTAAATAAATAAAGTTAATAGCACTTACTGAATTGCCATAGACTGTCGGATACTTTCATACAGATATTACTTACTGAATCTAAAACAGATATGAATTTGTTATCATCTTAACTAAATATTTAAATTCCATGTATCCGTCACTCTTGCTTATAGAAAAACATATATTCTGTAACGATGCAATAAAATCATTCAACATTGCAATAATTTTACAAATATTCCTGCATTTATGTATTAAATACATAAAAAAGATCACAAAGGAAATCCTGGTGCAATCATGTAGTTAATGATATGTCTAAAAAGCAGATGCATTAATCGTCAACGTAATATAAACACACAGCAGGAAACGAAGATTAAATTGAATTACGCCAATATCCCGTCACCTTGTCGGTTATCCCAGCTGATTTATTTCAATATTGACTTTTGCATTCATGTATTCAAATCCATGCAAATCGCGCGCACTTATTAAAATACTGATATATTAATAATTACGTGTCGACCGTAAACTTCGAAATGCAAATACATATTTTCAGCATTGCCGAGACTTCAGATGCAATTTAAGATTCAATTTCGCGCTCGTTCGGCGATTATTAATAGTGTTAAGCGAGCATAATTGCTTTCTTAACTAGTTTGGAGCCGGCCATGAATTTTAGTTTATAATACGTTTGGAATTAAGTGAACAGTTGATGGATATACGTTGTAAAATTGCACTTTTATACAATAATTTTTGTCATAATTTCATGATAAGTACATTGTACTTGTAACAATGCTTCACGATTAGCAGAAACGTGACTAAAACACGTAACTGAAAATATCACAGAAACCAAACATTTGTTCGCTTACTTTGATTGATTGATTGCAGCGAAATATCGATTGTTATGTGTTTAAAGTAATTATCGGAACCCGATTTCTCTCCGTCGTAAATTTTCCAAAAGAGTCGCTTGTAATGTAATAATGTAACAGCAGCTTTCTCTCGTGGAAGAGAAGACAAAATCAGATACTTATTACATAAAAAAAGAGTATATACGAGACCATTGTACCATTCAACGTGTTTTAATTCACATCGTTGTACTTGTTATTATTTTCGAAATGAGAGCATGTTCTGTTCAACTTTCATTTATACCCGAACATCATCGGTGCACTTTCATCGTAATGCTGCAAAATCATCTCTTTTCTTTTTTGATGAATATATAGTAAATATTCTTCTTCGCATGATGCCTTCCGATTCTCATGACACCATGCGTGTAATGACACAGTTTTGGAAACAATTGAAGGATTTTTTCTGCAGATACACGCCAACTGTTGCATAAATGTGTGCCAGTAACCTGTACGGAGGTCGTCGGGTGATGATGATGATGATGATAATGATGGAAAATAGGAACGAAACAAAACAAGCAAACGTAACGTCTAATGAATAATCGCGGTTATCGCGTTCAATTAATTATTCAATTTTCGTTGTTGTGTCGAATTAAAAGAACGCGAGATACAATGGTTTTACATAATTGCAACTTATTAAAGCAGACACGACGGAATATCGAGGTCTCTTCCCATTAATTATTCAAATTCTCGGAAAAAAAAATATAGTGTGCGAAGAAACAAAGAAATTTCATTTTAATGAGTATTTTCAATCTCTTTCAATTATCAAAGCAAAATGATTGAGTAATCAATTCAGATAATAAGCCGGTTTTCCTAATTTAATAATTTGTAAACAAAATAACAAGGTAATTTCATAATATTATCCTAATTGCAAGTTATTGATTAAATAGTAATATTTGTTATTAAAACGCAACGTGTGTGTTATTCAAGTGCGTGTTTTTCGAATGTAAATATGTTTGGAAATAATAATGGGCTGTTATTAGTTTGCTCTAGTTGTCTCTTCTAGTTATTATACTTGTTTTTTTTGTTGTTGCTTAAATTGAGTCATTTACAGTTATGAAATTAATCAATCAAGTATATCGGATTGCAATTATACTTCTTCGCCGGATTAGCACGATGCGAAATGTTAATTTAAATTTCGATGAGAATATTTTGCATTTTTATTGGTGCCTCACGTTTCATGATATTATTATAATAATGGGCAATTCGCTGCAGAGAACAGCAAATGTGTCAGTAGGTCGCAGCGAAATGGATTAAAATCTACTTTGGGGAAAATGCAATTCCCTCGGAGTTTTAGTGTAATAACATTAGACTAAAAGGCTGCTCTTTCTAATGTTTTTTTGAAGGTTTCCGATGAGAGCATGCAGTTATTTGGAAAGTTTTATAATTGATCGTTCACTCCTAATTATCTTTATGGAGTTTGGTAGAATTCCTGGTCTTATAGTCAGTTAGATAATAATCAACAAATGTTGTTGGCTTATTCCAATTTTTGGTCTACTGTATGTTTCTTCTTTGGATAGATTTATATGCGCTTGTAAATAATGTTACGTAAAGATTTATGTTAAATTAAATATGAAATGCGGGAACAATTGGATGAACAATTTTCGTAATTAAACGTAAGAAGCAATTTGCTTAATTTGTGAAGTGTAATGTCGGTGCTTGTTTCGCTAATTTGATTACTTCAATTATTTAATGGAACGGTTCCGCGCGCGGAATCTTCCTGCTTTCGCCAAGAAGAAAGAAAAGATTTGCCGAAGAGCAGCAATGAATGCTGGTTATTTGTAAAATTGCGGTTTGTTACAATTCCTGAACGCAATCATCGGAACGCCGAGTAGTGCACTTTGCGAATGCTGCGCGGATAAGTGCATCGTGTCTCAAACAGGGCAGGGCGTGTGCACTACAAGTCGATCTATCAGAAACAATACACACTTAATGCATCCATTATTTCTAAGTGGTCCCATAGCGTAAGTGGTTGTGGGTGTCTTCGCCTTCCGAAGAGTGGGGCCAAGATTACGGCATTTCCGAGACCTAAATTTGTAACATTCATGACACAGATCCAATACATTCAAAGAGGATTTCAGTTTGCTCAGACTGATTGTTTCATATCTCTCCAGGCGTTTCATTAACTGCAGATTTCAGCAGGATCAAACACAAACCGCAATAGTCTTTGGAATCTGAGCCTCGAGGAGTTCAAGAAGTTCTCAATCTTTGACTGCATTCAGCAATTACTCATCTCGAAAGTTCCGAGTATGCACTATATTTAATTTACAGTACGATTGTTTGTAATTGTCCTCGCAATGAACGACATTCATCCGACTCGACATTCGAGCGCTATTTTATTGGCAGTTCTAAAAATAACGAACAATCAATTCTTTGATGCGATAAGAATTATCCCGCTCCATGTGCGTACGGTTCACAGCGCTCGTTCTCTAGTTTTTCAATTGATGCAACAATTTTTGCACCATTCCAATCCAAAAGTTGCAGCACTTTATGCACTATCACATTCCCAATTTAGAAAACATCAAATGCGACTTCATTATTGAAATTACATTATTCTACAAAACAACCATTATAAGATTTCGTTCTATTCTTGACCGGTTAATGGTCCATGAAGAAAGAAACCCGATGGTTTTATCTAAAATCGTTTTTCGAATACAAGTTTCTTGTTGTATAAGATGAGCCTTTTCGGAGATTACATTTTTATGTTTCCCGTTTTAAGTAAACCGGAAATCCGCTGCAAGAAGTGCAGTCCTGAATTTTATCATTTATAAAATGTAGCTTGCGGAGGGACACGTGAGAGGGATTGTTAAATTAACGATACACGTTAGTTATTTATAGTAGTTTTTCTCTTTTTTTTTTGTAGATGAAATAAAATTTTTATTTGCACAAATCATTAGACAATACAGTATATATATATAAAATATAAAATAAATGGTAGAATTAAAAAGAAAAGGGAGAATGGCACTTGTTTTCTCGCTTAAATCGTCAAATTATATAAAATAATCAACTTTTTGTTTGTTTTCCTCAATATTTATTTTCTTCTCTCATAAATAATTTGCATATACATTTATACTCTCTTTCTTTCTTACAATCTCATTCTCTAGATTTCAACTGCTCTCTCTCTCTCACTCTAATTATTAATAATTGGATATAAACTTTAAAATTATAATTATTTTATATAGGAATATTGAAGGAATCTCTTCTTCTCTTATTTTTGTTTGTTTGTTTGTTAATGTTTACTTTGCTTGAGAGGGGGAAATAGGATTGTGGATTGTAGTAGTGTGGGTATTAGTAGTAGGCAGGATTGAATATAATATTATTTATATATTTAGGTATAATTATTAAAAGGATATAAGAAGTAAATAGCAAAATGCATCATAATCCATTCGTCGTATAACTATCGTGTGTGGGGGGTGGTGGTGGGTGGTTGTGAATGTAACGTGTGTTCATCATCTCTACTATAGTTTTTTTTTCTTTGTTTGTTTGTTTTTGTTTATACATGCTGGCAGTTGTTTTATTTATCTTCTCTCTTCGTTCTGGCGCTATTTATCTTACGTAATTACAATATAATTATTATGCTTTCGGATTGTTTTCTCCAAAAAAAAAAAAAAGGAAAAGAAAAACATGGATTTCACTATATATATATATTTAGTGTCTCACTAATAATGAAACTTATTTTAAAAAAGGCTAGATCTTAAAAAAATTGAATCTCTCTCTCGAAATAAATTAATATATATATATAATATGGTTTATATATAAAACGAAAATCATATCTGCAGTAAGCTGATTTTTTTCACTTGGAAATGATGGGGGGAAAATAGGCTCAAATATTAAAAAAAAGCGCAATTTTTTTAAGTGTAGCCTTAATAATCATCTCGCTTAAAATAAGACAACATTCTAGAAAAGCCCTTTCTTCTTTTTCTCTTTTTTACCGTCGACGGCCTCTCTGCTGCCCTCAAGAGACCTTCGTCGTAGCTCCTCCATGGTCACTTGATTCTCCTTCTCCCATTGTTCCTTCTCCATCTCGAACGTCTTGCGCTTGTCCTCCAGCTCCTTGGCCTGCTGCTCCAACTGTTTCTTCGTAGATTCGTGTCTCCTGGTCAGCTCCGCCTCGCTGTCCTTCAGCTTTTGCTTCTTCTCGCGCACCTTCATCTCGAACACCTGCTCCATCTCAGCCTCCATCTTCTTCATTTTCTGGTCATGCTCGCGCTTCTCCTCGTCCATCTGCGCCAGAGGATTCTTGTTCGATATCCTTGTCGGCTTGCCGTCCACCCCGAGTCCGGCGAGCTTGCGACATCTGTAGTTCTCGTAATGCACGTTGTTGGTCACGTCCTTCAGGTCCTGCAGATGCGTGCGGATCACCATGTTTCTCAGTGCTATGAAATCACAGTGCTCCAGATTCTCCACCTCGGCGATTCCCCACGGATATTTCCTTCCTCTCACCTTCTTCCCGTCCACTTCTATAACGACGTTGGAGCCGACCACGGCGAACGGCACGCGGTCACTGAGCGATTTATTGAGCTTATGGTCATCATCTTCTTCGGGCGGATCCGGGAATTCGTAAATCTTAATCTTGTGCTGAGCGATCTCGTTCAATATTTGCTTCTTGAAGAGCGCGCACTCGTCCGACGTGAGCGTGTCGGCCTTAGCAATTATCGGAATTATATTAACTTTATCACAAAGGCGTTTCATGAACTCAATATCCAGAGATTTCAGGCCATGCCCTGATGGCTGGATGAAGTACAAACAGCAGTGGACTCTCTGGTCAGGGGTCTGCTTCCTTGTCACTCTTGCTTCGGAATTCAAGAAGTCTTCATACTTGCTCTCAATATATTCAATAATTGGTACCCAGCAATTACTGTTGTCCACAGCATCTCCAAATCCTGGAGTGTCCACCATAGTTAACTGCAGGTTAACTCCATTTTCATTCAATAATATACTTGTCGTTTCTACAGCTACAGTTTTTTTGAGCCTCTGGGTGGGTCCAGGGTAATCGTTGGAATTGTAAATGTCAGTTAAAAACATTGAGTTAATTAGTGTGGATTTACCCAGTCCGGATTCTCCCACCACCATTAAAGTAAATTCAAAGCCTTTCTTGACAGCTTTACGATACACTTGGTTGGGGAGGTTTGCAAAACCCACATAACCATCAAGTTCTCTAGTCTTGGGTCTTTCTTTAGTGGCTGGTGCTTCTGGAGCAGCAGCAGTTGTCTCTTTACCTTCATCTTTGGTGGTTTCCGGAGGGCTGGACTTTGGGGGCTCTGCCGGTTTATCTGTGGGTGCTGGCTTGAATCTGTTCGAGTCCTGCTTGGGTGTGGGTGCGTCAGTGGAATTAAAGAACATCTCCCTCTTGCTCTGCACTGAGGAAGTGGTTGTCTCTGGGGTGGAACTACCATTGGTTTGGGTTACGATGGGCTGGGTTCCATTTGTGTTCGATGAATTTTGGTCCATGATTTTCTGTCTAAGTGCTAGCCTATCCAGACTGGAGAGACGGTAGGAGCCCCCGATGCTCTCCTTGTCCCTGTCACGGTTCAAGCCACTGCCTGCATTGAAGCTTGATGTGTACTTGGGCAGTGTGGGAGGTGGGGCCGGCTTGTTTTCAGAGTTCCTGTTCAACAGGCCACTGCTCGATGTGTACATGTAACTGCTGGGCATAATGTTCGGCCGCGACTTGATCGTCGCCGTCGTCTGCGTGGTTGGCACGGTAACGTTGATGTTGGTGCCACTCATTGTTGAGCAAAAGCTGTTTGTATCCTCACCGGTCAAATTAGGAGTATCGCCTGGACATCTAACACACGCGGATTGAGCGAGCGAAAAAATGGTTGCGCCGTTCTGATGCACGTTGTTTCTGCAGTTTAAAAATTCGAACGAAGAAAGCGAAGAAGGGAGAGAGATCAAGTTAACTGGCTGCGGTCCGGTGACAGATGGCCAGAGGTCTGATGCATTGCATTTGTTTACTGTAAACAACACTCTATTCTTTTCTCTTTATTGTTGTTCTTTGCTGCTGCTGCTGCTCAATGATGATTATTGCAAGAACAAATCCCTCGTCGTTTCAACGTTGATGATGAGTAATGTTCAACTGGTCAGCCACGCCCGTGGCGTCCCTGCACAAAATTCGCCGATCCTCTCTGCGGTGCTTCAGCCGGGTTGAAGCCACCTACCTCACGCGCACAACCACTCACTACTCTCGATACCGATCTTTCCGTTTGTACCCGTTTGTACCTGACTCAAATGTACGACTGTGGCGGCAACAATGAGCAAACTGATGGACGGACGCCGGTTTTGCTGCTGCTGCTTCTTCTGCTGTTCAAATTGCAACGGTCTCGTTTCGTTTCATTTACGACGCGACGCTCTCAACAACTTCCATGTTCACTTTGAGGTTCATCCCAGATGGCGATGGCTTTCCCCCACACTCACACACATACAGCAAACAACACCACCACCACTCGTTCGTTCGTTTCCTAAATCGCTGGAAGCGCTTCTGGAGGGCGGCGGGTGACGCGCGGCCAAAAGGGGAACTAAACTCACCAGTGGTGGAGGCAACGAGGCAACGCACAATCGACCAACAAACCAACAACCTATATTACTAACATCTACATTTACTATTTACTCTTCATTTTATTATTATTTTACTTTTCTAATCCAAACTTTAGTTCTTTTACAATCGCAGTATTACGCAAACATTCACAAACTAAAAAAAAAGAACGGAAAATGAGTAATCAACTATGCATACAATTACTAATTTGCAAAGTCAGTTATTATCAACTATTTAACGCAACAATTTAAATTAACAAATATTGATAGATCATGCAGATGTTTCAGTTATGCGAATTTCAATTACTTTCACGTACTTATTTAAGTAATTTTAAGTATATACGAAATGAGTAGACAGATTTCAATATTATTTACTGCAAACTATTAGTATTATTTTTTTCCTTGTTCAAAAACTCTTCAAAAAAGTCTTTGACTGCACTGTAAACATAACAAATGCATATTACTCATTTTCTCACAATCGATCAGTATTATGCAAACATTCACAAACGTGTGACTAATCCAATATAAATTTTATTTAAAACTACATATTCATTATTAATTTCAATACTTTTAATTTTTGTTCATAATATTCCAATATAGTTCGAAACTAAATAGATTCTCTTTACAATTTCAATATTCAATATCAAGTAACATATTAAAAATCTGTGCAGCTATAATTTATTTAGATTTCTATTCAAAATTTAAATAGATTTCATTATGATTCTTTGATGATACTGTAATCAATAGAAATACTTTTGAAATATTTTCGAGCTAGAATGTAGATGATCTTCAATTTGAATTGTTTATGCTATGTAGTAGTTGGTTTCTGCAACAGATTCCTAAGCATCTCTCGCGTTGGCAACACTGAGGGTCTGGGTCGCGAATCGGGTCTCCTGGAGCCCCTGGGTCGCGTCCGGAATCAATAATGAAATCACGCACTTTTTCCTTTCTCAGCTCTTTCTTTTTGCTCGGCACATTTCGTTCCGAGAAATCGCATTTCATGCAAATCCAAGTGGTTGGATGATGATCCTTCTTCTCTCTTCTATTTCTCTCGTTATTATTGTTTTTGTTGTTCTTTTCCTTTCTTCGCATTAGCATTTTCAAACAACGATAATGCGGTATTATTTACGTAACCTTGTTTGGGGCCTATCGTTAAATGCCTGCCTGCCTGGTCGTCTATCGTTATCTTTGTTGCCTTGATAACAAACCTCGCACGATAAGGCTCTTTCCTCCCGCCTGCGCCTATAACCGCTGCAAGCCAGCAGCATTACGACCGTTCTCTTAAACATTTTCGCATTTACAATTCTTTACACTTCGCTGCTTCCACATTTGGAATTCCCTCTTGTTGTTTTTTTTACAGCTTGAGACGAAAACATTGAAATCCATACTCTGGTAGCAACTCCTGAAACTTGAGCCAAAAATCAATAGTTGCTTTTGTTTCACTACAAGTCTCCTACAGCGGTTACAAATTAGAATATTATTATTTAAAAAAAAACGCAATCATGTTTATTTAATTACAATTGTAGATAATGAAAAGATTCGAAGCGAAAGGCTAATAACCGAAGGCTTTCCGAACACGTATATCATTGTTTAGGAAAGGTTGTAAGTAAGCAAACCGCGTAACTTTAAACGCGAGTATAATATTGCATTACATATGCAATTAAGACTCTCGATGTTTCAAAGGTGTTCCCATCGATATCCAACGATTTGCTTGCTTACTATTATTGTTATCGTTGTACTGGTTTGGAAGGTCGTTGGAACAATGGGAATTCGTCACGAAATTAATATCAGCTTGATGAGAGAGAGAAGTAAAACGAATTGAAATATTATCATCATGATCATCAGCAGAAGCAGCAGACACAAAGGCATGCAGCCAAAGTGAAGACGAGACTACGACGGACGAACGAACGAAGAGAAGGTGCTAGCTAGCAGCTAGTGGAAGGCGTAGAAGAGGAGAAGAGCGAGATAAAAAGTTGATGGAGAGAAAGAAGGACGGCGATTATGCAAAAACCGGTGATTCATATGCATGCTAGATTTCAAAAGTAATTTAAATAAAATGAGATTTAACAGCAACAACAACAACAACAAAGCGTCGGGTCATTGTGTGTGACGTTAAACCTGTATTATTATTATATGTGCATATGTATATAGATGAGAAAAGATGAAAGGATGGAAACGGTGGATGATGAGGCCAACAGCATGCATATCCACCGCAGATTCATCCGCATCCACTCTATTTTTAGACGTAGATGCATTCTGGAACCCTACTTTCCATAAATGCAGGCAAAACAAAAGCTGCGCCTGCAGCACGGTCCCACATTTCGTGGAAATTTGTCTTTCCGACCATTTTGTTGTTTGTCTATTTCGAAAATATATTTTCAGATTGAAAATAAACAATCTTAGAATCTTATTTATATTGGAAACTAATTTGTTTATTAACAACACTTTGAGTTAGACCAATAGGTCTTGTGCTGATGTACTAATTACATTGTAAATTATTCTTTTAATGATTTAACTACTTTTTAAATTTTTTTTTCTTTCTATTAATACTATTTTTGTGAAATTACTGTCGCGTAAATATTTGAAGAATTAAGTAATCAAAATGATGACGAAATATTGAATTGTATGACTACCCAAAAAAGAACCCACAAGCAAACTAGGTAAAACGGATGGCGAAAAAGCATCTACGTGACTCATCGCAAGTACTGTTGTGTAACCGGACCGAAAAAATAAAATAAATGTGGAAGCCAGAATGTTGTGATGATGGGACGTTGACCATCACCGGTTTTATCTCTGTCTTATCGTGTTCTTAAAAACTGTTCAATTCATTATCCGAAATATTCGGACAGTCGTCTCGGAACATCGGCGACAATTAAGACCCTTCCAGAAATTGAACATGTATGGATTTTATTTAAGAGCATTATTATTATTGACTCCCAAATTTCAGTACGATAAATGTATTTGTTTTTGGATGGTTAAAACCGTTGATAACTCTTTTGACATAGACCCGTGTTTATTTGATTAAGTTTTAGAAATGTATCCATTAGTTGTATCAATATTATTATCTTATTTTGCTTGTTACAAAGTAGTAAAAATAATTACAAGAGATTGCCAATATTTAGTTCATTGATATCGAATTATGTTTCTAATATACAAGTTGTATGGATGAAGTTACGTAACAATTTACAAAATAGTATAATTGAAAATTAGTTAAGTTGGTTTGCATTTGCAGCAAAGATTAATCTCTGTCTGTTTAACGGCAAACAGAATATCGGTGAGAAAAGTAAATTCGTCGTCTCTAGTATTATTTTTATCGGAGAGGCCAGAATAAACATGTGGTTGGGGTAGGTAACTGGAAAACAAAAATGTGCGTTCGGGGTCGGCCCGCATCTGCTTTTTTTAAATGAGCTGCGAACTGTTCGGATGACGATGTGCGCCTCCAACACAAATAAAAATATAAATTTTTAAAAAAAAAACCGCTTCTGCTTTAAGTTTTAATTATAATGTCGTTTCTTTCGTTTTTTTAGGTGAAGACTGCCAAGATGCATCTGTTCACGTTCATCCAGCTGATGTGTCTGGTGGTGCTGTGGGTCGTGAAATCCACGAAGGCCTCTCTAGCCTTCCCGTTTTTCCTCTTACTCATGGTTCCATTCAGGGCGCAACTCAAATATTTGTTCTCGCCGATAGAACTCAGAGCTGTAAGTATGAAAGGAAGGAAGAAGGACCACCCCTAATATCCCACATTCAGAAATGAAAAGAAATAATATTTGTGTGCTGCGCGACTGACACACGACGCTTATTTTTTTTTTTGTTTGTTTTGTAGAAGATTGTTAGTGGAATTTCTGTTCGCAATTTATCGGTAGAAAATGATTCAATACTTTGGACGGAAACCGCGAATATCGCTTTGCTGCGGTTTGATTTCATTTCGAATTTTATACAAATGCGTTCATTTATTATACACAATTTAATTACGATTCGATATTTCAGTTTTTATACAATGACGTGTCTCAGACGTCGAAGGAAGTAGTCTTTATCGTTTTCTAAATTATAAAAATACAAAATAGTTTTTGTAATTTCACAATTATTTATGTAATTCTGCATTTTACTCAAATGTGATTAAGACTGTGTGTCAGTGGGGTAGGGTTTTCTGGTTTTAATTTGAAGCAATCTAGAATGTGATGTAAGTGTAGAGCGGAGCTTAAATTAAGGGGAATTACGTGAGTGTATTGAATAATAAACGGATTTCCTTGATGCTGTTGTTGGGGAAGGGGGGCTGCTTCATCGAAGTGAATGAATGAATGAAAGAAAGAAAGAAGTAGACCAAATATTTCAATAAATCAATGACCTGCCTCGATCACGTCTATGGGGGTAAGTTATGTGAAGGTAAGAGGAGGAATGAACGGTTCTCTCGCAATTGTAGGAAAACAGTGGGACGACCGACGACCATCGAGGGTCATGCATTACGGTGTATGGATGTAAATATGCGACACGTACTTCCTTGACATCCGATACATTGGCCACCATATCGGGTGTCTTTTCCTTATTTACCTTTGCACGTGCATTGAAACGAAAACACACACGCATTCACATACTTACTATACCACCAATACGAACATGGTGAGAGCACGACTACGATTTGCGGTTCATTGGACATATACGAGATGTTCCCGTTCCAGATTCAGTTTCCATTACAGTTCAAGAAGACAAGGAGAACTGCATCGCGAATATCATTGTGTTTTGTCCATTGTCATCGTCCGAGCTGCACACTATCCATCGAGGAATTTGTCGAATCGGCTACTGGACTTTGGCACGTTGCGCACGTTTCCGATTGTTTTTAATAAGCGACGCTTCATTTATTATTATTATTATTTCTTTATTAACTGTTTGCAATCGAAGCGATCAGACGTTTTCGATTTTCCCGTTTTTAAATTCCCAATTTAAGTTTTGAATTGAGACATGCGTCTGCTCGAATCTCTCTGATCACAAACATCAATCGGAATCTCGCCAGCTTTATTGCCGCTCGTTAAACCGATGTTATTATGTATACTTTATACTCTTCCTCTCTCGATGAACTTGCCTACCAAATGGGTTCCTAATGGTGCGCTCTTTTTTTTGTTCGTAATTAGGCTACCAATTGCGTAATACTGTTATTGTTATTGCGCCGTTTCAGACCTCTCGCATGTAAATATTTGCAATCTCGGATGAAGAATTTCCCTGTGAATGGAAGTTTAAGTGCTTACAAAGTGGAAGCAAAGCGCTCGGAACCGAACTAATTGGGTTCGGGTTCGGTTTCTCCTTGCCTACACTTTGTATGGGCTCTTTCTCTCTCTCTCTCTGGATGTAATTTAACACGTGGAGGCTTCTCCAACCAGTTACACATTACGAAAACCCCTGTTTTTTTTAAATGCATTCATAAAACTATCGAGGGTTTTAATTTTACATTCTCAGTTTCAAACTGCTCGCCTTCAAAAGAACGATGATGAAGATATAACGATTAAATCATAAATTATCAAAGGTTTCGTTGCTTTTATGCTCAATTTCAACCAGTCAACTTCTTAAGAACGTTCAATTTCATGATAAAATCGAAAATAAACTATTACTTCTTCAGAATGATCGAAATATGTTTATAGTTAAAATGTGTTGATTATACTTGTGCATCGGAGGGAAATGATTCGTTGATTGATGCTGCTGCTGCTGCTGCATCGACCATTTGGTAGCTGCCAGGGGAAATAGAAAAGAGAAGAGCGTTCTTGTTTGGGCTCGTGTTTGTTTTCGTGTGATCGATGAATGGAAGTCATTGACCAAAGGGGAATATCTATCCGAGCATTCTGAGCAGAGGCCTTGTGTAATCTCTGAAAACGTAAACTAAATTTAAAGCAAACCGCAGCTCTCCGCAGTCCTGAAATAAATTGGAAAAACTTGTTGTACGCAGTGCATATACACTCGAAGTGTACGAAGCCAAGTAGTGTTGTAGTAGTTGCATGTAGTTCCATGACCTCTCACCACCTCATCCTCTCCGGTATCAATCTGCACGTTCCACATAACAAACACACCCCAGAAAGGAGGACTCGTGAAGACCGATCCCATCTCATTTTCTCCAACACTCTCTCACATTACCATAGTCTCTCTTTTGGATAAGTTACGTAACGAAAACAAATTAAAATCGGTTCTGTTTATCGTTTGTTTCAGCTTGACGGGGACCAACCGGATGTGGACGACGACGAACCTGACTTTTACGCGGAGGCTCCACTTCCTGGATAACAAAAAAAAAACAACAAATCTTAATTGCGATAGGAACAAAAGAAGCAAGAGAATCCAACTGAGAAGAAGAAGTTGATTTTAATTTTAATCTATCACTAATTTTTAATTTCGCCTCTACTACTACTGTGTGTGTGTTTCTTTGTTTTTTAAATTATTATTTGAAGTGAATTCACTTGGTAATAATAATAATAATAGGAAGATAATTTTAAGCGTTAACAAGAACAAATTTAATAACACTACTACTACTACTGCTAACTTGATGATTAAGTAGTTAGCGGATCAGGAAACTATTAATATATTATAAATGAAAACAAAACAAAAAAAATTAGAACTTTCGTCTTAAAATAATTATGAGAAATTGTTACTAAATCTATAGTTGAACACGTAGATGATGAGATTGAATATCAACACACAAAAAAAGTGAACCAGTATTACGAAAAAAACATAAAGAATACAAATACGAGACCAGTTTTAATATTTATGTATATTGTATCGTAGTTTATATTTTATAGATCTGAGATGGTTGAATTATTATTTGAAATATTGGTTTTATTCGAGTTTTGTTTTTCTATACAGGGTATAAATATACATGTAATTAAATTGATTGGATTCTATTGTTTGTTTCTTCACTCACGTTTTTTTTTTAACTAATTGTAGCTTGTTCGATTTTGTTTTTGTTCTACTTATTTACATACGTATACTTATATGAAAAAAAATATATATTTTTTTTAAATCTTGAACCTAGGTAATCTTAGAAGACTGTGATTATATTGGCTCACTATTACTTTTACTATACAGTAAGCTGATGATGAACTTAGTTGCCTTCTACATGTTAGTGTGTAATAATAATAATTGTAGCAATCATCGAAATATTTGTACACTTGTTAATTACTTTATTTCTTACAGTTTTTCTTTTCCTTTTCTTAATTAATCTTTATTAAGTTTAAATTGCAAAATAATGTTACTACACTTTATATAGATATATTATATAGAATTTTATTTATATAAAAAAACAAAAATGATATTACATGGATAGAGATATTTGAGAAATTGATTAAAATAAATAATTACTATTGAATTGTAAAGTGAGGAAGGAATTATGTAGGTACTAAACTAATCATTTTAAATCGAGAATTATTATTATATAAAAGAAAGAAAAAAAAACGTTGTTCGTTGTAATTGTAAATCAAACAAAACATTAAAAAAAAATATAATACAAGATATTTCAACTGTGATTTACGGAATATCTGTTCTATTTCTATAAACTAATAAATACAGTAGAGTTTACCGACTACTTTTATTTTTATCCCTACATTTCATTTATTTAGGAATCACAATTTAGAAATAATATTATCAGATTTCATTTTGGAGGAAATTTTGGTACTTTTTAACTTAAGGAATTGGAAATAAGTTTGGGTTGGGTTCAAAGAAAGTTCTTTTTTTACCTGTTGTAAATTGTTAAACAAGAAATTCCAATATGAGTAACAGTAAATTTATGGAGATGGCAATAAAATTGAATACTGAGAAAGTTTCATGGAGTAAAACACGAGGTGAAGGTAAAAAAATTGCTTGAAGAAGGAGTTTTGTATATTTTGATGGAAACCATAAATGAAAGATACATTTGAGAATGTAATGAAACTGCTGTGTAACAGTTTATATTAATATCATTATAGTGTTAATGTTTAAAGCAATTGTAAATATTAATTGAAGAACTAATTAGAATGACTTTAATTAATATGTTTGTTGCAATAGTCAAGACAAAGTAAATAAAATTATTTAAGTTTATTTAACGCATTAACTGTTTCTTTGGTTTTGATGCCAAGTAGCAACATAAAGTTGCATAGATTGTTGTACGACGAGTAGCGATAATTGCTATGACAATAATTTTGAATATTTGAACTTGGGGATTTTGCTGTTCCTTTGTTGTCAGCACGAGAATATTGGATTTTTTCTCTGTCTGTCTGTCTGCGGTGGAATTAAGGCCATCACCGTTGGCAACAGTGTCCATCTCCAGTGATTTACATTTTGACAGATATGTTGTATTTGTTATCAGTTGTAAATATTTATGTAAGTCTATTTATTGACATCTTGTTTTGGGAATCGTCGATTTCGTGACATGCCGCGACCCCCGCAGGTCTCGTCCGTCGTATCCGATGGAAACGACGTCCAAGACCTACGCGTATCCAGTACGCACACAAGCGTTCACATCCCACCTCATTCACGAAACTCTTTTGTTGTTGGAGACTTTCATAGTAATATTGCTCGCAGCAACATCAAAATAAGAAAGAGACGAAACGCGAACATGGCATGCCACTAGATCCGATACGAACAATTTGGGCAACCCCTTTGTTCTTTGCGGACTCTCGCTGACCGCAAAACATATTGTTTGTTTGTTTTTTTTTCTTCTGTAAAATTGTTTATTCTTATGATTGCATCTCGTTTTTGTCATTGCGTGCATTGCGTTATTTGTGGTCTCGTAGTTTTAGGATATAATGGATGAAATCAAAGATGATGATGCCAATTCGGATCATCAGGAGGTTACAGTTGAGGTGATCCCAGACACTGTCGGGGATATCATATATTTACAAGACTCTATAAAGTGCGAGCCTATGCTGCCATCAGATGATGAGGATAACGAGAATGAGGAGCAGACTGAGTATGAGATTGGATCTGTGGATGCGTCGAAGCTTCGGAGCAGGGATCTGGTGCTGGATCAATCGGAGACATTTGTTTTACTCTCAGGCAGCAATGGGCTACTACACAATGTAAGCATTTGTTTGTTATTTTCTGTTTCTCAATGATTTATTGTTGTTGTGTTGTGTTGTGTTTTTAGGACACAGTGAAGTTGGAGGGAGTGAAGGAGGAGCCAGGATTGTTTCAATATGAATGCGGGATGTGCCATATGAAGACAGACACTCTGGCTTCGCTGCAGCAACACAACTCAATACACGACTCGGAGATCTGCTTAAAGTGCAACAAGGAGTACCCAAAGGAGGAGATCTACAAGCACTACAAGAGGGAACACCTGGAGATCACGTGCGAGACATGCAATTGGATCATCATCGGTCAGAGGAATTACGCTTCGCACGTGAGACAGCACGACTACAGGAAGTACGTGTGCAGCACCTGCTCGGCGATCTTCACCAACGGGAAGAAGCTCATGAAACACATGGAAACGCACGGGACAGTTCTGCTGTACGCCTGCAACAAATGCGGGGAACCGTTCTCGAGCACACAAGAAGTTACTAGTCATTTAAGGCAAGTTCACGGTGGTAGGAGATGCTAATTCAATATTATATATACTCTTATACGAAACGTTTTATTTTTAAAGTACAAATCCTGTAAATAAATTCAATTAGACTTATTGAGAGGACATTACGGCGCCGATCCAGTCAACAACAGTAACTTAAAAAATCCATTCAGAAATTTAAAAGAAAAGAAACAAAGCAAAAAAAAATCAGATGAAACGCATCGCATCGCTGCTACTCCGGCATTTCCCCACCAGGAACGAGCTATAAACATAAGAAAATTTTTATTGTTAATATTAATTCCAAGGATAAGAGTTAAAGTAAGACTATCGTTTAAGTTGTGCAAGACGATTGCTTCTTGGACGACGTGAGCATTTACTATTATAATTAAAATATATATATATATAGATATGTAGGATTTAAACAAGAACAACAACAACAACAAAAAAAATGAAGAAATGTACGAAAGAGATTGTGTGTTTTCAAAAGTGCAAATCGCCGGTACGTCAATAATTCTAATTTTATATATAAATATATATACTTATGGTGTAGATTTAAAGATTGAATGAAGAAAGACAAAAAAAATAGCTTAAGTCATTTGAAAACGCAAAAATTCCAAAAAAAAGAAAAGAAAAAAACGTTCGTTTCTCTCTGCAAACTCCTACAAACCGACACTTGAATCGAAAACTGATGAAAAAAATCTTATTTATTTTTGTTATTATTTATATCGCCACACGTTTTCGGTGATGGTCCTTTTATTTTAGAAACTAGAAACGATTATATATATTTATTATTATTATTATTTTATAACTATTATTTTTTTTTGCAATAAGGATTTTTCTTTTGGAAAAAGTGCGAATATTACGTTATTACTACTACTATTATTATTTTTTTTTGCAATTAATTGGATGTAAAAGTTCGAATGATGACGGAGCAATGTTGTTAGTGTGATTAGGACGTGTGTTATTATTATTTTTTTTTATTACCATTGTAATATTGTTTCCGTTAAGCAAGATCTGGTCCAGTTTGGTGACTCTCCGTCCTTCGGGCGTCGTCTCGTATTCGGTGACGTCCTCGAGAAGCATGTTAACGAAATCGTCGAATCCCAGGAGAGTCCCAACGATCTCTTTGTCGTTTTTCATGATTATGTGTATCCTAGATCCTATGCATTTGTCCACCAGCTCTGCGGAAGGACAACGAGAAGGATTAAGACACGAGCAGCAGCAGCAGCAGTTTTTTTTTCTCTCGATTGTAATTATTAATCTTATTTTATAAATAATATATATATATTACTACGCATACGATTATTATGTTAATGTGAGAATAGTATTGTTTTCTGCCTTATTCATTTTATTCAATTCCGATCATAGATGAAATTAATTTAAGGATATTCTTCATTTCTTTTTTTTAAATAATAATTTTAAAGATAACAGAAATATTCTGCGTGTTTTTATTTATATATGCCACAAAAGAAACCCATCCAAACAATAGCAGCAACACAAAATATTTAACTTAAGTAAACTGTCATATATTGAGCATTTGAATACCTATGAATAATAAGTTTGTTTGGTCTTTGCAAGTTGTCCTCATGAAATTATAACTAAATATATTATTAGTAAATAAGCAAAATTTAAATCAATTGAAAGTTAAACAATAAGTATATTTGAATGGGTGACAAGTAGAAAGTATTTATATCTATGATTAATAGCTCAATAGATACTAATAATAAGCTATAATGAAATAATTGATTACATTAAAAATTAAGTTGGCTAGTAAATAACAATTGGTAAACAAACAACTGTTGTCAGTAAGAACAAATTGAATCAAATATTGTGAAAGTACTTTCTGATTATAATTGTTTGATGTCCAGCAACATTCGTTATCATTTAAAATGTGAAAAAAGCGAAAGAATTTTTTAAAATTTCGAATGTGTATATGGAAAGAAAAACAAAATATAATAACCTACAAAATTTTAACCTAAAAATGTTAGTAAAACTTTGTAGTAAGTAGACTTACCCAAAGGGAGGAGGGTGGAGGAGTTGACTGGCATCGTACTCATCGTGTTAAGTTGTTCTTAAGATACTGCTGAATGTTAATTAAATAAATGTTACTTATTATATAGTCGGCAACAATATTATTGAACTAGGTAAATTAAGTTCGATCACGTTGGCAGCGCTTGTTGGAGTTCAATGAGCGACGGTGGTGGGAGCGAGACGGAGGACATTCAAATTGCGAAAGTTTTGCGCGAGTTTTACGCTGTCGATGATGATAATTCCGGATGCGGGTAAATTAAAGTTGAACTGATTATCGGCGGAGAGTTTAATTCCGATGGATTTTTGCAGATCGGTTCGTTTGAATTGTGAAATTCCTGATGGCGTCCTTTCGATTGTAAAGTTGGTAAGGCGTGCGTCTGATGCTCGCCAGACGTCGGCGAGACAGGAGACGGGAATCCCTCGGATGGTGGAGAGAGAACGTTCGCTGGACGTACGTCTGAGCGTTTCGGAATGCGCAATAAAGCGTTGCATTGTGTTCAGTCAGTTTCGTACACGGCAAGATGGAAGTTGTATGTGTTTTAGCTAATAAGTTTGTGTTTTTATAGCATTGATGACCGTGGGTTCCCCGTTTCGCGTTACGTTTTTTCCCCCCGCCGCAGTCGAGAGCGTACGACCGGTAGTGACTCTTTGATGCTCCCCATTGTGACAATAATCTAATTCGACACGCAGCAGCTGCGTTTCATGGATTTCATCCCCCCGATTCGCCGACACCAGACACACACCGAACATTTTTTGGTAAGTCTGCGTGTTGTTTTTTTCTCTCTTTTTTTGTTTCATTCCTCTTCTTTTGAAAAATCTTTTATATTTTTTTTTTACCTTCTCGTCCCAAGGTTATCAATTTCTGTTCTCTGCTGCTTCACCGTTTTTCTGTTTTGTTTTTGTAGAGCGTATTTCTGTAGTACCCGGTGATCGTGGGGGGCGTTGCATGTGCATCCAAGCCCCCTTTGGGGGAGGCTACTTTCCCACAAATAACAATCGAGAATCAGTCAGTCAAAGACAACTTATTTACCAAAAGATGCACATGTTGCTTAACTTTTTTGATAAGTTGTCAAACATGAATCACGCCTACTAGATGTGTTAATTGAACGTCTAAACTAATTAAACAATAATATCTATAAAGTGGTCGAGATACTTCGCTTCTTACCGCATCGCAAGTTGAAGAGAGAAGAAGCAACAACAATATTTAAATAATTACGTAACTTACCGCTATGCCGACTGCTACAGTTATAACAAGGCATTTAAACTTTTAATTAATTCACGTGTGTGCGCTTCTCGATTAATCGTCTTTTCCTATTCTACTGTTTACATATTCTGTGGACGAATATGCGGCTCGCTTTGTCCGAACTTCTTTCACTCATTATTTTTTAATTTTGTAACCAGAACGAGTATATATTTTTTTTTAAATTGGAATTTTGCCCTTTTCATCTTAATCCAATTACTATAACGTGTATTGAATAATCGAAATAAAATATTAAACATTAATATTACAAAAAAAATAATGTTTCTCAACCTTAACCTTTAATTCCTTTCCAAAATCTGTCTCTACGAAATACTAATATTCAAAACTCGCATCTTGTAAACTAACAATTTTGTTATTTTTACGTTATGTTGTTTCAATTTGTAGATTGTAATGTAAAGTTATTATTCTTAAAATGTCCAAATGTCCATAATTTTATTTTTAAATTTGCATATTTTACTGTGAAACTAATGTAATTAATACAATTGTACTGTCGAATTTATGTAAAATAATCAATTATTATCATTTCTCAAATTAATTTAACTTTATACAAATGTTAAATTAATTGGCGAACAGCCACAATACTTTATATAAAATTTCTCTATAATCATATTAAATTCGTTTTGATTAAATTAATTAATAATTATTAGTTATGATAATACGTAAATTTGATTAGTAATTCCGTATTGACTAATCATAGATTATTTACGTTGTTGATCCTACGGAAATTATTACTGGTTAATTTCAATTAGATTTTAGTACTAGAAGGCAAACTCTTAATGACTTTATGCATCAGCCTTGGTCAACTTTATTGTATGCGAAATGCAAACAAACATATACGTATATCGTTATGTGTCTAATAAGAAACCTTGCTCATATATTTTCATAAATCACTGTGTGTACTCGATAATCTACAAAACAAACAAATATTGTTATTTGGATCAATTTTATTTATGGCTAAATAACAAAAGTTCTATTAATTAATTTTATAAATTACATCAAAGTGCGTTTTGTTAACAGATTGTTTCTTTTTAACAAGATTATTTCTTTTCTTAAGTAGCGAATTTCTTCGAGAATAATCGAATAGAATAAAATACGTGAGTATATTTTGGGATTTATACTATTATTATCCAGTTGAAAGTTTATAGTTTACTGATTGAAAATCTAAGCAAATAAAGATTGGCAGGTGCGAAGTATCTTTAAGTATCTCCACTCGATGTGTATAATAGACCCTCAACTTAATACTCTTAAAAATAGATCGAAAGTATTTTCGCTTTTTTTCTTCTTCTATTGTATACAGTTACATTCATTTTGCCATTTCCCCAAATTGCGTATTTTCGAATCGAGTGGGTGTGTGTGTATTTACGAGGAGGAGATCAAATGATATCTCGTTAAATATTTATCTTCGCGGCGCCAAATTTAAATCGAATACCCAGACCACCCAAAAATAGAGTTCGTAAGTTTCCAAAGTGAAAAAGAAAAAACAAAGTAAAAAGTGAAATAATCGTGTGTTTGTGTGTGATCGCATGCGGCACGTAAAGGACGTTAAAGAGTTATATTGTAATTACTAAGTATAACAATATTACGCGACTGGAATGGGAGAGGAGGTGAACGTTCACCTCGTGGTTATGAATAATCGCGGAGCTGCTGAAACAAATAGCAGAAAATAAAATGGAAAGAAGAAAAGAAAAAAAGTCACGTAATCGGTCGAAATTCACACCGGCTGAAGACAATGATTACGAGAAAGTCGAATACAATGCATTTTTTACCTATTGAATAATCTGTGTTTTTTTATTTATTTTCTAACAAGAATGACGGTAAATTATGGAATTGTAATTTGCTGTTTTCTAAACTTAAACAATGTAAAGTGAACAAAGTGTATTAATGTTTTAATTTGCAAGAGAATCAATATTAACGTTTGTTTTTGGACTACTTGGGACAGACCGATGGATTATATATCCTGTGTGAATGGATTAGGTCGATAACCCAATGTTTACCGATAAAGTTATACTTTGCGCTAATGATTGGAACTAATCAATCATCGATATATAGAGGGAATAGTACGTGAGCAGAAGATGAAAGAGTGTGTGAGAGATGAGAGAAAAGGTGTAGCGGACGTTGCCTTTTGATTCATTGAAATTAGCACCTCTCGCACCTTTGATCGCAAAACTAATTTTCGTACGAGAATGGATTGTGGAATGCGCGAAGGAAGGAAGACAATCGGAGAAGAAGAATAGCGTGTAGGAAAAAGAATTATGCGCGAAATTGGAATATTATTACTCATCGTAAATCTATTTCTTTTTCTAATTATTCATTCTTCGAACAAAAGGTTGTAAACTATACACGACAAACACATTCGACTATCGAAATAGATGTTTTTGTAAGCTATGATTGAATAGAACAATTTCCTTTTATAATAAATAAATAGTAATTAAATGAATCTAGATTAATAAATTTAATTAGCAATTACTTCAATAGTACACAGAGTGGTAAAGTAAGCTTTATCTGTAAACGAAATGAATTATAAAGAAATGGATAAAATAAAAAGTTAATTTCTATCTGTTCCACATTAATTGGTCCGATAATTTCTGTTGTTCGAGGGGAAACCGATCCCCGTCTTCCAATTAATCGCGAGGAATGCTAACTGCCCTGACACGTTCCACTTAAACACCAATTAAACCATAATTAAAATATACGTAAGCAGCGTTAAACTGTTGCAATTAAAACGCGGATAAGTTTAGTTCATTATTAACGCAACGCGATTATCTAAATTGTAATAATGATCATCTAAATCGAGCGCAAATTAACACACGAAACAACGCACGTTTATCTGATAATTTTATTTATGAATTAGGAATTAATAACAATTTTATTATTGATTAATAATGAATTAATTTGCAGATTATAAAACTATGAATTATCTTTTCGTAAATCGCCTTAAATCACAAAAAGACGAATTCTTATTCATTATTAAGAGATTTTAATAATTTGGTACGCACTAATAAACGAAACCTTAGGTTTAATGAATACGTTTCCCTTATTATAATTTCGGTTCGTGCAGTGAGGGGCTGCTCTCGTCGACGTCGAAACTTATTTCCAATTTCAATTAGGATGTCGGGGCACGCGTGGAATGTTAATTAAAAGACATGTGCCACGCGCAATCAATTAACAATAATTAAATGATTATCCTCGTATCCGCGTGATATACATTCCTGAAAGATAGAAAGCAACCGCTTCCTGCTAATACAATAAATATATTGTCAATAACATCGTTCTTACTGCATTTCATTTAATTTCTAAGAATCTCGTCTATCTTCGATACGTTCACGTACGTTTTTAACGCAACTTCATGTACTTTATCTCTTTCAATAGAATACAGAATGAAAATATCGTTATAATTTAAGGGTGCCATGACATAATGAAAAGGTTGAAAAACATTGAAGTCAGTTATATTGTTCCATATGTAGATATTTAATATTACTTCATATAATTTTTGGTCACGTTGAGTAAAGTAGAGTAGATTTGGAATATTCATCTTCTTTTTTTGATCTTATTTATTGTTATAAAATGAAATCATTTTAATCCATGTTTCTGTTTGTTAAATTGTAACAGTCGTTCGTTTCAAATGGAAAATATTTGTGTGTTGCGTAATGCGCGCGGTGCGTCCCTAATGTGTAAAGCCTATCCTATCCATAGGGAATTTTCCCATGTACTTTGTATTTAAATATGTTTTTTTAATTACATTTAATGGAACGCTCATTTTGTATGTAAATATGTTTGTGTTTAAAATAAATTTCGTTCTCGAATAATAATTTTAAAAAAAACAGAAAGAACAGAAACAGAAGTGATAATAATGCTGAAAGGTAACAAAATGTGCTGCGTTGCACGTGCGTAA